TGACAGATGGCCTAATTTATTCAGATGAGTCTACGGTAACGGTAACAGCTTATACCAGGATTAGTCAAGCAGATCAAACGCAACTTATAAACACAATTATAGTCTGGTTAATCTGCATCACTTAACGAGTTGGAGTAGCTTACTCTGCCCACAGATGGGAGCAGCTCATTAATTAGTAGGTAAGACCAGGCAGTTACACTGGTCACACTTGACTGGTCTGTCTGACTATTCTGTCGTCTGACAAATGGCATGTCTGACAATTGGGAGTGACCCGAGTCTACAATACAATCAATTACAATCTGCCACACCACGCATGAATAAACAGCTATGCAGGTGTTGCTGTGGCCAAATACCTCGCCTGTATACATGTTTTGCACATTTTCGTTATTTGGGGATATATTAGTCACAAAGACACACAAGATTTATGAAATATGAATTGCTACCTTGACATTCAAGAACGAAACTTGTTCTTTTTCTCCACGATCCTCACGTGTATCATCGTTTAATGATTCATTCTATTCCTACATGTATGTTTGGAGGCGATATTTAAAGGCGGGGCCCAGCAGACACAGACAGCGTGGTCCGTTTCGCGTGAACTGCCACCCCACTTCCTCACAATCGGTTCACAAATAACTTTGAAGCAGTTTCAGTGTGTAAAGAGATTGAATTACATCCGTCACTGGCTACAGAAATCCTCAATGTATAGAGACGTTCTACAAGGCCACTGCCATTCAAATAACCTTGTGATGCAGGTAACTCTCTTCGACAACGGCCGCCATCCTATCTGCTACAGCTACCATACAATCCTGCCAGTCACAACTGGCGTTTAACTGTCTTTTTCAAAATATCAATTTTAAAAACTTCGTTGCCAGACTGACGTTCGCGTATACAGTCCTCTTATTTGATAAAAAAACAGGAAGTAAGAGACCTGGGCCCACTTGCAAAAAAACATCTTAGCGCTAAGACTATTGTAAGTCTATGTTAAAGTATGGGAGTTAAGATCATCTTAGCGCTAAGATCGCTTTGTGCAAGTGGGCCCTGGAAGTGCAACTGGATGTCACATTCTATATATCAGTTAACGGCCCTGTTTGTGAAAATATGCACTGGACATAATATTTAAAGACTAATGAAATCAACTTTAGGACCGCACTGACAATAAAACCAAATAAAATATGCCTTGGCATCATCTGTTGTGTATAAGATGATGGTTATGATCTGAAATTTTATAAAGATAGATTAGGAAGGAGACATTTCAAAGTGTTTTAAGATACGCGAGATTTGCGGACACCCAAACATGTGGTCGAAATCAGTCACTGACATGAGCAATAAGATTGAGCAACAGAAACAAGCATAAACGGGTACAGAGAAAATGGTAGAAACACATTTAAAAGATTTGTTTACATATTATTGTACTAAACACTTACCTGTGCACAAGCGGTTCCCAAGGATAAGATATTGCTTTGCCAACACAAACTTGAGTGTTTTGAGTTGTTTTCGACTGCTAAACGTATGCCTCCATATACACATTACAATTATAGTTATATCGCCTGTGTGAAGCATTATGAAGCTGAGAACAGAGATGCCAAGTATTGCATGCATTCACACACGGAAGCAATATGATTCTGGTGTTTATGCCCTTTCCTCTGAAGAATGTAACACTAGAGTATTTAACTTGTTATAAGTATAGTAAGAAATAAGACTTGGTAACACAAAGTTACTTGGGTGTCTCCAATAGATGTAGATGTAGTCACTTTCTCTTATTTTTCTGCTAATTATATGTTACTAAAATCTGGCATTTTTTATTGGGTATAAATAAATTTATTTGATTCTTCTTGTCATACATTTTACCATTTTACGATCGAATGATTGGCACCACACATTCCAGCAGAGAGATTTTTTACTATATACATGTATTGTTAATTGTACAGTCTGTAGTGGACACTCACATCACTACGGTGCCCCATACCCGCCACTGGTGAAATCATTTTTCACTGTATGCCTCCATATTTTATCTGGCTCAATCTTACGGATACATTCTCCAACCTGTCGATTGCCAGGGCACTGATCTGGAAGGACTTCTGGTCACACGTGGTATGCCAGTTTGAAACGAAAAGTATCTGGCAAAATATAGAGGCACACAGTGAAAAATGATCACGTTATTTTCTCTTTTCCGTCCTCACTGAAACCATACACATTAACACTCAAATTGTTTACTTTCTCAAATCTAGCTACATCTTTCAGTTTCAAGGGGAATTCAAAGTATAAATGAGACAAAACGGAATACAAAAAACAAAAGTCATCTTCTAAATTTCGAATATTCAACAAACTTCGTTTTTTTTCAAAAGCAAGGGGTAAAGGCAAATAGTAAGAACCTCGGAAGGGTTGAAATTTGACAACTGGCAATTTAATACCAAGCACTTCTCTAAACTTTAAATTGAAACTACCTGTATCTCATTCATCCTTGTTGCAGAACGGCCGAGTGACGTTGTCCAGTCGATTGCTGAAAAGCGTGATGGCATTAGCCGAGCGGATTCCGACGAAGACACGTAAGACGGGATCGACTGTGTGGAACCAGCCACTCCCTCCATTGCCAATGCCAAGAAGGCTCTTGAAACACTAACGATCTTCCTAAACACTCAAAAGTCAACAGAGATGGCATCATTTGACAGTTTGGCTGATCTCAACGATGCGGTTTCACGAATGTAGTCAGCAAAACGAGACCAGAGCAAAATCACGGACTACACATCTCCCCGTATGTAAATCGTAAAATGCCAAATTATGTTCACATGTATTTAATAACCACTGTTCTAAAAATAATGAATTTAATGTTATTAAATGAATGTTATATGTGAAATGTTATCAATTGAATGCTATGAAGTGATCACTGCTAATATAAGTCAATGCTGCAATTACGTGCATTTTGCTTTGTTTTATCCAAGATGGCGGACGTTTCCGAGCGAAAACGTATCTAACGAACAACGGATATCACGAACTGATTTCTCTGGTCCCTTGTAGTTCGTTATATCCATGTTCTACTGTATCTCCTTCGTCATTATCTATCTTTGTGTGTATGGCCTCAGTGTATATGATATCTGCTTCAGCCGGTGTCATTTCAGTTCTAAAATACGGTTCTGTGCAGGTTTTTGTCCGTTTTACGGAATTGACGCTATTTCCGAGTGGCGGGTGGCGGGAGCACCCCTGCGGAGCCTCATTGGCCTACCTAATTTTTTGGTGAGCGGGATTTTATGCGAGCCCGCTTTGTGCTTGAAATATGTTTGTCGAAGGTTGAAACATTCTTTCTATAAGTAGCGAGGCCAGAGAAGGTTGTGCGACGGGTAAGTTGGTTGGTTGGTTTGTTGTTTAACGCCGCACTCAGCAATATTCCAGCTATATGACGGCGGTCTGTAAATAATCGAGTCTGGAGCAGACAATCCAGTGATTAATATTATGAGCATTGATCCTCGCAATTGGGATCGATGACATACATCAGCGAGCCTGACCACCCGATCCCGTTAGTCGCCTTTTACGACAAGCATAGTCACCTTTTACGGCAAGCATGGGTTGCTGAAGACCTTTTCTACCCCGGAATCTTCACGGGTCGCGACGGGTAAGCCACATATAGAGTGGCCCTACCTGTTTTATGTTTTAAGTCATTATTTTCTTAAATTAAGTTGTATTGCTATATTGTCAATGCAAAAATGTAAAACTAAACATTGCGGCCTCTGCTTGTTTACGGGTCCATTTATCAGTGAAATCCCAAGTCATAAAACATGACTTGGCAAATTTTAAATTCGAATTTGCATTTTGCATCATACTAAGGTCCACAAATTGTCCTCTGAGCAGGTCCTGACAAATTCTGGTTGTTGGTTTGTTTGTTGTTTAACGACGCACTCAGCAATATTCCAGCTGTATGACGGCGGTCAGTAAATAATCGAGTCTGGACAGACAATCCATTGGTTGACATCATGAGCATACATAATTTGCTGTTATGTGCATCACATTCGAGTCTTCTTCCCACGCCCCGAGATGTCAGTTATTTGTGTGATGGTTTTTCATGTATGCAATAGGCAAGGTAAAGGCAGATAAGTGTTATTCACCAATATTCTGGGCGTATATACACCTATTCAGCGGTATTATGTGTCATTACGTTAACATGTCAGAATAACAAATAAAAAACATGCAAACACACTGCGTTAATCCGCTTAAAACACATAGGTGCACATCTAAATAATCCTATATATGTCGAAATAAATTTAGAACCCTATCACAGTCACTGTAAAATAAGAAAATATCGAGTGCACTTTTCTAAACTAAGATTAAGTAACCATACATTAAATATTGAACTTGGAAGACATACAAAGCCACCAACCCCACTACAATAGAGGCTATGCTCTACATGTTCAACCATTGATGACGAAAAACACTACATACTTCACTTTACCAAACACACTCGAGAAAGAAATATACTCTTTGGAAAATTATCAACACAAAATGTAAATGTCCACGGTCATAAATACAACTTGTTTCACTACATAGTCTCAAATAATGAAGCCATCGATATAAATTGCATTTGTTTCCATGTCTATAATTTCAAACAATAAATACACCTTGATCTTAATCAACCGATGACATGTATGTCTGTATATATGTATATATAAATCATAATGTTTTTGTCATTTTAAAAAATGCATCTGTCTTGTAATGGAATGTCTCTGCAAGGATTATTATCTGATCTATCTATTAGGGGCGGTCGGGTAGCCTAGTGGTTAAAGCGTTCGCTCGTCACGCCGAAGACCCGGGTTCGATTCCCGACATGGGTACACTCTGTGAAGCCCATTTCAGGTGTCCCCCGCCGTGATATTGCTGGAATATTGCTAAAAGCGGCGTAAAACCACACTCACTCACTCACTCTTATCTATTATCTGATCAATTCCGTGTTATGTGCAAATACTGTGCAATCAGGTTACCACAGTACAGTAATCAAGCATGCACACTGTAGCTATCAGTTTCCTTCACCACACACATACACGTATGTTCCAGTCACCCGCAGAATTCTGTGGTATCCCACGGTTACCGTCTATCTAAACACAACTAGACCTCTACTTCAACGTGGACGAATATAACGTGGCCATATTGAAGATGGGGTCAGGTTTTCACCTGCTACAAGACTTCTGCAGGTAATGGGGATGTTGTGGACGAAGCAGCTGAGAGTCAGGTGAGCTGAGAAAGATGAGCTGTTGGAGATATCTAACGTGTTTTGGGGCGGAACCGCAATTTAGGAGCTCGTTTCTCCCGATCTCTGCACACGGACACTATTCCTCTGCAAAACTCACATCAGGCATTAGCGGCAGTGTTTCATGATGTCTTACAGTGCGTGAGTGAGCATGCTGGTAAGTTAGACATTCAGAATTATCTTGGGGGCAGTTTAAAATTGTTTAAGGCAGTTTGAATCTTGAACAAGCATGTTCAATATATATGTGACTGTTTGGAATGCCAGCCTCTTCTACCCCTGTATTAAGTAAAGGTTACATATGTGGCCAATTAAAAATAAGCCAATTTAAAAAAAAAAAACATATATAGCAGAATAAAACATATAAATAATATGATTGTATTGTAAATAGACATTTTAAATTTTCATATGTGTCATTCACATTGTGAATGTATCCAAAACTACCATTCTATCTTCTCCTCACTTCGTTTAAAAAGAGAAACCCAACTCACTGAGCCTATTAGTCTGTGCTGACCATCTGCATAAATTTAAACCACGTGGTCTGATGGGAGTCTGGTGCTCTGCATGGTCCAGCTATGCAATGTGGGTGATACAACAGAGATTACAGGTATAATATTACCTGATTTTGATTTTATCACTACATAGTGCCTTGGAGTAAGTAGTAGTACTAGAAGACCCATTGCGGATGATGATGGTGGTAGTAGTTTAATGGAGGTAATAACCTCCACATAAACATGCTCTTCTATCAGGGAGAAGGACGGCTGGGATGTGGAGGAAGATGAGCTCTTCTTCTTAGCTAAATCTGGATTAATCACCCGACTGGAGGATTCAATAGGCTTTACATTATTTTTAAAACCTCTGGACGTTTGTTGGTAGTCGGGGAGGTTTGTTGGGTGTGGGTGTGGGTGTGGGTGTGTGTGTGGGGGGGGGGGGGGGGGGGGGACTTTTAAATCATCTACAGGAGTAAGATGGATATTATCCATATCAAATCTCTTCCTTCCTCTGAAAGACAGGATGTAGATTCTCGCCGTTTCTTCGTAATGGCGATGTCTCACGTCGTTTTCGATCTAACTTCTTCCTCTGCACTGCAACGAGATATTTGTTGACTTGATTTAAACATATTTTATTGTGGAAAACCAAATGGATTAGCCACAAGTGACACACTTACGAGGCTTTCTCCTATATACATTTCATTACATTGTGGTATGTGAATTCTGTGGTGCAGAATAAATGTACAGTGCATAGGAACTACAAGTAATGAGAAAATATAATAACACACACATATTCATATATATATACAGTATTACACACAAACACATATACCTACATACACTCACACATACACTCACACATACATCTACATATATACATATGATGAATTTACATTTTTGGTATACAATGGTACATGATATATTTATAAAATAACATAGTAGTTAATAAACTACATGTAATAGACATTTTAAATTTATGTTAAGGGCGGGAATCTAGAATGTAACTAAGCTGTGATAGTTACAGGGAATGCTATTGTTTTACATCAAAATCAGAGTGTTGAAACAACCATGTATTATATGTGCCAGTCACTTGTAAAATCCAGATAATTTGAAAGTAGCTCGTGAAATATAATTCTTGTTGTATTAGGATACAATTTAAAATCTGTTTGTTTCTACAATAAATTTATGGGCATAATTAAAAATTCAGTTATTTTGTTCTTCAGATAGATTTTTGTTACCACAAAGAATTGTTTCTAAATTTGGCTGAGTCCCTATATTCCTAATGTTAATAAACAAAGATTGTCTTATTAAAGAATATTTTTTACATTCAAGAAAATAGTGAAAAGCATCTTCGCATGGGGAACCGCAAAGGCAAGAAATAGTGTCTGACAAATTAACCCTAAATAAATCATCATTTAGATTGCTACATCTATGTCTAAGTCTTGTTTGGATAATATTAATTTGACGCTTACCATAAACATATTTTCGTTTTGTGAATTCCATTGTTTTAAAGAGTCTATCATAAATGATTTCTGAAACGTACTTGTTCTGGCAAAAGGTACAGTCATGTTCTGTTTGTTACGTAGGTTATAATTTGAAGCAGCTGATCTATTGTGGGGTAACAAATCATTTAGATATGAGGGACATTCATTTATTATTATTTTGTGCACTGTCGTAAGTTTTTTTAATTTTTCGTCTCTCTTTTAGTGGTAGCCAGCCGGTTTCGAAATATAAACTTTCTCTAGAGGCAAATTTGGTCAAGCCTGTCACAATTCTGGCAGCGTCAAGTTGGTGTATTTAAGTTATACCCTCTTACCACCCACAATTGTTGTTTTTTTATACTTACTTCCTCTTTAAAATGGTTCATAGACAAATACTTATTAAATTACGATCTCATTCCTACTTGGTTATCCCCCTTTGACACATGCCAAGTTGGTGTATTTAAGTTATACCCTCTTACCAACCACAAGTGTTTTTTTTATTCTTACTTCATCTTTAAAATGGTTCATAGACAAATATTTATTAACTTATTAATTATGAACTCATTCCTATTTGGCTATCCCCCTTTCATCTTCCCGAGGCAAGAGAGTTAACTGACCATACAAGTCCAGTTTCCACCCTTGCCGAACTAGGCTGGTATTATGGAGTTACATTTTGGCTGGACTAACGAGTCTATGCATAGTCAAATCAAAATCGCGAACCGAAATCGAAATCCGGTTCGTAAACCGTCGTGCAGATTTCGGTCGATTGAAGGATTTGCAAAGCATGTGCACCACCAACTCGTTGTCAGCAGATATTTTCCAAATCTTTTCGTGAAATCTTTTCCCCTTTGAAACATGGTGTATTTAAGTTCTAACCTCTTACCACCCACTGGTGTTCACGCGTTAATCAGATAATCCACTGTGAGTTAAGACTAGGATGCAGTGATCTGAACGGTCACATATTTGAAAGATTTATTGGCGATAATGCTGAATGGTCATGTGGTTTTATCAATGAAAGTGCTTTACACTACCTATTAACATGCCCAAATTATACTGTTATTAGATCTGAAAGCAATTATCATTTTAATGGATATGACCTTCGAACCGTCCTGTTTGGTAACGTCAGCCAAGACAAAGAAATACTGCTGATTATCGTTGACTCTGTACATCATTTCTTCTCTGTGAACAAACGATTTGTCTAAACATGCACTCTTATATAAATCTCACCAACAACTGTGTACCTTTGATATACCACATGTGACTTAAAGTCTATACTACTGTATAACATACTAGTTTATACTGCTGCTGCATTTTCGAACTTTGTTGGGGGAGATATTTATATAGGCTCTGCCTGTTTATCAATCCTCTTTCACTGTACCACGTGGAAATAAATATTGTTTAAAAACATATATTTCCTCATTTCCATTTCCGTCCCTGTTTACATCATCAGACACTGTGTGATTATCATGCTGTATTTATGACATGGAACCATTGAACACAAACCAAAAGGAACTATATTAGCAAACACTTATTACAGTCAGTTGGATTTATATGTGATCTTTGTCATGAAATGTTCAAAGTATAATCGAAATTGAACTCTATAATCAATCTATCGGTCGGGAACATTTGATTTCCATGGCGATGAGGAAGCCTGTAATGTATACCCTTATCCGAAGTAACAGATGTGCAAACTGTATGTATCTGCGTAAAACAGTTTGCACATCGGTTTTCCGATTCATACCTCAATGAACCGAAAAAAATACACAGTCAATGCTTATAATTAAATTTTATTTACACTAGTTTAACTAAAAACAGCTGTATATATCAAAACAGACAAAAAAGACGAGATTGATAAACATTCCGAGTGTAGGAATACATACTGTGGCGTGACATGAATCAGGTGATCGTTTAATTTATGCACATAACTTGACACGCCTACATAGTCAGTATCCCAGTCAACGGAGAGCAAGATCAAAACAAGGTTCATTGGACCTGTCAATTAAGGCAAGAGGCGAACAGAACTGCAACAGTCAGACTGTAACGAACCGGAAGAAATGTGTCCGGGAGAAGGCGGCTGTTTCAAATAGCATGGGCAGTTACCGCCAGCTTCAAACATTACTTCCCTGATTACAGTAAAACACAGTTGGAAAATGGTAGTTAGAAATGAAACCCGAAGACAAGTTGAACCGAGGCGAGCGGGAAAAAACAGGCGAGCGAACTTGCACGTTTGCTGTTTCATTCATTCTCGGCCTTCAGTTTCAAAGGGTTGTTTGGACAATGAATATGCACGAAAGTCGCTACATGTCCTGTGCATGACGATACACGTGAGTAGAAAGGGAATTCCCTCGACTGTAATATTGGGATTCCCCGACATTCCGAAGTAATAAAAGTAGTGCGCCTCGGTGGGAAATGAATACAATAACACGTGGTCAATTCAGATAATCAGAATACAGGAATTTCAATGAACACAACGAAAATTTAATTATTAAATGTTAAATCTACATTCTTAGTTATATATCAATAATATATAACATTTAAAATGTATGAAACATGTTATTCATTTATTAATATTTCAAAATAAGTTACAACTTTTAGATTTTTAAGAACTGACACATGAAGCTCCTTTAAAATTATGTCTCTAAGTCCAAAAGTGTGAACTAGTGTGTCCTTCAAGATAATATTCATTTTTAACAAAAGACATTTTTGCATTAATTTTACTATACTTTAGTCAACGAACGTGTAGGCCACATGTAGAAATGTTAACATTTCCAGCCATAAGAACCTTCCTTTCAAATAATATACACGGGCGTTGGCTGTTTCTACTATGAAGATAATGATCTGGTAGTTTTGGGTTTTTTTATAAACGTTTTTATTGTTCCCAGAGTTGTAGATTAATACAGTATTCCGTCAAAGACATATTTCGGATTGCATAGAATGGCACAATACACTCTTTAGAAAATTAAAGGGTTGGAAACAAACATTGTCCTATTTCAAACCAACACGGTTGCTACACACAGTCAGACTCAAACATATCATGTATCAACAGAGAGCTATGAATCAAATGCTGAGAATAAAGGTAACCATTTTTTTTTAAAGTTACTTTTGTCATCCTTTTTTATAGCAATAAATTTCTCGATTGAATATATGTTTTTAAACAATTTTAAAAGTATATCTAGTTTCGGTTTGGT